GTTGAATGGCCTTTCAATAGCTCATAGAAGAGACGGACATAAAAATACCACAGATGATCATAATTATCTAGAGCTATAATAAATATTTAAAATGCATCGGTTATTGACACCCCCTTTGATTACACCCCCTTCGATTTGATATGGAAAATAGATTTGTTATGTTCAGTATGTGCAGCCTGCAAAGCTACTGTTGTATGTATAGCACTAGTTAACTTCTAAAGAACACCTGGGTATTGTGGCGCCTAACAAGACTGACGCCGGGTCAGAGATTTTCCAAGTGGAGCCGAGAGGATGCTACACCCGACATACCCAGAGCGTCTGTCACTGTGCGGAGTCACGGCGAGGAAACAGCTGATCGAGCAAACACTGCAGCTGACGAGACGCGCCTCTACCTGCTATCACCAGATTGGAAATGTGAGACTAAAGTGCAGAACGCAACGCCAGGGACACTCTCAATGTTGTTGTGGAGAGCCCCTTACGACTAAATTATGAGCTATCACTTAAAGACAAAAAATGGATTCACATGGAACTGGAAAACATTTGGCCTCTGATAAAAGGACTCTTATGTCAACAGCAAACTTTAAGTAATAATTAGTGTTTTATGTTTAGCTCTGTTTGTATCTTTGTCCTGCTTCTGATGCTGCACCTCATTAGCTCTAGTAAAAGAACTAATAAGATTCAGACATGACATAGAACACACAGCAGCAGCTCTCGTGAGTTAGGGAATAAATGACAGTCATGGGTGGAGTTTATTGCTGTGTTTTGGCATTGCGGAAACTGCAGTGGAAAAGTTCTTGATAACAGTTCACTATAGAAAACACTGAATGACTGATAATCCCTGTCCTGCAGCGAAAGTGTCATTCTGATTTCAGTTGTTTTTGCTTGCTTACAAAAATGAAACCATTGACAAAAATATAGCTTAATTTCAACATTAAATCAGTCATATTGAATCAAAATCGTGACCCTCTTGTTGCAACTCATATCGGACCATGACTTCAGATTACCGTTGCATCCCTAATCCATGCATGCAGTGTGGTCCAACTGTGGTTCTTTTCTCGTGGTCATCATTATCTTGAACAGGGATCAAAGCCAGTGTCCTGCTGGGAAAAAGTCAAGAGCCTCAAAATATACGTACAACTCTACAAGTTTTAATCTTTTACAACCATTGAACAACAAACAGAATTTACACATAAATAGGAATTTATTGCAAGCGAGCAACATTTGCAAATTGCACCACAATGCATTTGTACAGTACTAATATATCCAAATCATTTCAAATAAATTTAACTGTATTTCTGAATGTTCCTAAATTTCATGTCGCTTTCATCATTTACTTGGCCAAACTAAATGTCTACGATTCTCTCAAACCAGACAAAAACGGACAAGGATTTAACTATAGAATATGTTTCCGGTTATGGACAGTACTCTTATAGGTACTCTTTGGCTGTCGTAAGGTCTAGCCAAAGACTACACTTATTTTTATTATGATTCTTTTCAAGTTAGAGATTTTGTTTTATTTTAATTATAGCTATAGTTCAATTATCTTGTGCCGTCTCCTCCTCTTTCCTACTGTTCTAAAACTTGTGATGCAACACTGAAATTTCCCCACTGTTGGATGAATGAAGGATCTCTTAATCTTAATCTTTAACCTTTTTGAATGTTTATGTATATTTTTATGTTAGGATTTATGCTTGATGTGATATGGGTCGTGAGGCGCTTTGTGTTGCCTTGTGTTAGGAAAAGTGCTCTACAAATACAAGTTGATTGATCGATTGTAAATTTCTCCGTGGTGAGATCAATAAAGTCTATCTTATCTTGTTGGTAATCGGAAAGTTTTGTTTGAAATTGGAAATATTTTGTCATCCTACGTAAATTCCCCATAGAGTCCGTGTTTGTGACTACCACCCTTAGAAAGAAAGGCAACTCTGGTACTGGTTATTCAGGATTTGCCTCACATTTACGGCAAAAAAAACCCCAGCTTAAAATTCCTGTTACACAATTGAGAATCTGTAAAAAACTCACTATCGATTAAAGCCGTGGAACGTTCACTGATCAATTAGGAGTTTGTCAGCTGGAGCGATGCCTGACAGTGAGCCTCCCTGATGCCTGTTAAAAGCTCTCCATCTGTGCTGCTCTGAAGATTCGTCAGCCATTATTTCTGATGCCTCCCGCGGGCCTGTCCTTCTTCATAAAGTCTTCCCCTTCACTGCTCCCTGCTCGGGCGGCGCGCTTGTTAAACTCACACACACATTAGTCTAACTCATGTTCCCACAGAGGACCACCAGTCTGCGGCACTCCGCTCAAGCTTGAGTGAGCGCAACACCACTATATATTACAGACATTATCGAATGAAGTTATAAATCTGATGTCAATTTGTTTTCCAAATAGGTTTGACTTTGAAAACATGGATCAATATTTTCATTCTTTGTGCGTCAAAAAATATTAGGTTGACACGTTCCTATAAGTGGAAGTTTTATGAACATTTATCAACTTTTATGGACATTGGTCATCTGCCTCTTATGGATCAATGGCTATATGTGTTTTTAAAATATAAATAAAGAAAATAATTTGCATTTCTTGTGTTGAACCGTTTGATTCTTGGATCTGTGTTGGCAAATTCAATGGTTTTTAAAATCCTCCTAGATAACTATACTACTATACAAGAATAAAATGAATTGAATTAAGTAGTTTATTGTGCCATTGATATTTGTGTAGTGCAGCTCATTTGTTATTATCTTTTATCTGTTCTAGTGCTTTGGGCTCGTCCCACAGTACATTCCCAGATGCACATTTTAGATTTAAATACACGCCACATGCTCTTGTTCCACACTATCACAATATCCCTGAACGGTTGTTATTTTATTTTAAAAAAAGACCCACATTGGTTTTATGGGTCTTATACAGTTGGGCGGGGGCTCTGTGAATGTGAACACAAACAACAGTGGAGGCCAAAGAACGGTAGGAAAGACCAAGCACAAAGACAGAAAATCTTTATGAAATCAAACCATAAGACTGCTCCAGACAGATCAAGAAGACATTAGTGGTATATGACAGCGTGGTGACTGGAAGATACTTGGGCGTCACAGCGAGAAAGTTGCAGGTTTGATTCCTGTGTTGTTGGAGGACTTTCTGTTGGAGTGTGTGTGTCTCTCCCCACGTCTGGTGGGTTTCCTCTGAGTGCTCCGGTTTCACCCACCACCCAAAACATGTACAGATGTAGAATCCTCCATCTCCAGTGGTCCTGACCAAGAGCATCAACAGCTGCGGAGATGGGTCCCTGGGTGACCACTGCTCCTGACAAAGGCCTAACCTGATTTTAACCTTGTCTTAAACTTTTTATTTTGAAAATGAACATTTAGACAAGGGCATTTTGGAAACAATTCTGTAGACCAATGGGGCTCAGATAGAAGTTTTAAAACTACTAGCTGATTAAAACTACCAGACCAAAGTTGTAATGTGTCTCTGGACAAAGATTACAAATGCCAGGTGGATTTGTTAATGCACTACTTAGCAATTCAGACATTTTAAGTGTTGATCAATTGATAGTTTTTGGAAGAGGAAAACATAGAGACTGAGATACCCAATGTTATCTTATCGTTTGTTTGTAGCTTATCTTTTGCATCTCTGGTTATTCATGTGTATTAACTTTTTTACTTTATGAAGGTAATGATGACTTTTATTAAGTAGTCCTGGTTTTTTTTAAACAAACTTAACATAGTTATTCTTTTTGAAACAAAATGGGAACAAATATATTTATTTACAATTTGTTTTGAATGAATTATCAATTATTACTAATTGCTTTTAGAGTAAAAATAATGATGTGGTTGTTTAATGATGGCCATTTTGTCAAAGTTTGGCAAAATAAATTGGCTCGATTTATTGTTTGTAGTTCTACAGGTTGTTTGTAATCTTAATAAAAACAATCAGAACAGTAATTAATTACTTCACATATTACTGAATTCTGCTGCAAATGTTCACATTATTTTTTCTGCAATCATTTGAAACGTTCTCATTGAGCAGCTGGGATGAATCAAAAACGCATCCAATGTTTCAAAGTTAATACAACAACTATTACAACATATGATGCAACCAGTGCTTTGAGCTCTGCCAACCTTTGCTGTTAAAACCATTTAACATCTTTATACCTACCCACACTGAGAAGAGCAGTCTGTTTGTTGTAGAACATCAGAGATCTGCATCAACCCGCCTCTTCACATTCATTTTGAACGGGTGCATCAGAGCAAATTGTGTCTGGCTTAAATCTCAGGAGAGACGTGCTCGGTGAATCTTGATGAAGTCGCGTCTTAAGATTCTCGTCTAATCAAAACAGCAGCGCCCGAGACACCAGTCCTTTGGGGGATTAAAGATGATTTCCTGTTTGGTCAGAGGCACTTCTGTAAGAGTCCAACCCAAAATGTACCATCCTTGTCGCACACACCTGGGGCTGCTGTTTGATGCGGGCCTCATCCATCACAGTAAGTGTGAATGGCAGAGAAACGCTGTGCACTTAGTAATCTGTGCCCGCCTGCCCCTGACAGGAGAATGGAGACCTTGTGTACGCTGCCTCCAGATGGGCCAAGACAACACAACACTGCAGCTCTCTAGTGACAAACATGATAAATGTGTGAGGCAGATTAGGTGAGTTTGATACACGCCAACGCTCTGACAACAAATATAACGTGACAATAATCTTAATACCAAACTTTTCAAACTGTGAGATATTCCATTAAAAACACAAAGACTGTCAACATATTCCTCATGTAAAAACTAAATCTTTCTGTGATCACAATGAGTTTAGCAGAAAAAGTAAAGAAACTCGAGTTTGTACATAAACATGTATTGTTATTTTATTCATTTATTATATACTGACGTAATTATTTTAACAAGTGTTTCATAAAAATACACTGAGATTGTAAAAACCTTTAAAATGCACAATTTCTAACATAAAACACACGTAGCACAAGTGGAAGGGGGAGGAGACGGTACACATAGGAGCAGCTTTAGCTGCACAGTTTGTTGGCCTCGTACTCCTGGTGGTTGGGCTGCCTGGAGCTGAAGTCCTGCAGGGCAGTGAGGATGCGGCTAACGTCTGCGCTGGACAGTTTGAGTCTGTGCCGGAGCAGGCAGGAGAACAGGTCTGTGTGTGGGGCCCCTGGAGGAGAGAGCCGGTTCACTCTGTAGCGCAGCTCCACCAGCTGCAGCAGGGCGGAGTCCTGGGAGCCCTGAGTGTACGGATAGTCGATCTGCAGGATCAAGTCCTGAATTGCCTCTGGGTCAAAGTGCACGCTGTACCCCAGCAGCTGCATGCTGTTGATTTTGATGTAGCCCACATTACTGGTCGGCTCTGTGGGCACAGGTGGTTCATAGTACACCGTAGTACGATTCCCACCCCCCGGCTCCCGGATACGACTACGCAAATAAAAGTGGACAGTCTCAAAAAAGCTTTTCCAGCGGTTACCTAAAGTCAGGGTCCAGTTATAGCAGTCCAAGGGTCTGTCCAGCTTGGTGCGCTCCCAGTCCGGGTATTCACTCTGGCCTATGGGCATGGTCCAGCTCTCTGCGTGGCTGCCTCCAAACGGGTTGACAAACAGAGAGAAGGCTGGCTCCAGAGTGCTGTTACTGGTGAGACAGAACTGCAGTGCGATTCCCAGCAGCATGTGGACGCGGTTGGATTTGACTCGATTGCTCTTGAGTGTTAGCAGCATCCTCTTCCTCCAGGACGGGTCAAACCAGGTGTTGACGCGCACATCGTTACTCACAAACACTCCATGCAAGGTGATGCGAGGGTCGCGTTGCTGCAGGAGATAACGCAGCTCCAGGTCCTGCAGGTCGCGGTCACTCTCCAGCCCCAGGTAAGGGTCAGTGGGGTCAGGCACAGATGGCCGACAGACCCCCTGGGTCAGAGTAAAGCCTGCGTTACAGCTGGAGCAGCGTGTGCGATTCTCTGTGGAGCAGGAGGTGCAGCGGGAGCTGTCTCCCACGGAGCAGGGGATAACACCCTGGCAGGACACAGGGGCATAGGGACAGGAGCAGCTGTGGCTCTCCTGACTGTACACACCGACATGGCCGTTCTCACTGCAGTACAGCCTAGACAGGCAGTAGCTCAGCCAGATGTGCAGCGGCCTACAGAGGACAAGACATCTTTGTCAACATTATGCACCATTAACACAGTATACATTTATATATATTTGAGGATGTTTCTGAACATCTTTGTTTGCCATAATGTATATTTCTGGCTTGCTTCTTAAAGCTTATATGGCCACAATATTTGTGACTTACAAACAATTAAAAAACATTATACAACAAGAAGCCAAATCCTTCATACATCTGCTCATTATTCTGTGTACAGAAATAACACCTAAAAGTTTGTCTATCTGCTCAACTCTTTTTCCTACAGAGAAAAACTTCTTGTACCCTACATTTTATTAAAGAAAACAAACCGTAAGCATGTTAAACTGACTTTCCGGAATTCTCTTTTATAGAGAAAAGGTGTGTGATGAAAACTGTAATTGGATTGTAGACAGAGAGGGCTTTACATGCTTTTCACTATTGAGCTGATGGATTGTGTCATTAAGTTAATTTCCAGCCAGAAATAGCTATCAATATGGAGTGTTCATGAGAGAGGCATAAATCTGGGCGGCGTAACAGCTGAAAGTGATCTCTGATAGATATTAAAACAGATGGTCGAGCTGCAGAAAATTCAAAAAGACAGTTTGAGGGAGTGACTTGGAAAGCTCTTTGAATACAACTATTGCACAAACTGAGAAAAATTTAGCCCTTAAGAGCCTGAGTCCTCAGTCTACACTGGAGACCAGCCTTTTCAAACCTTCTGAGGGGTTTGAAAAGGAAGATAGCATACAGTAATTAGCAATTCACGAGCAGTGTCCAGTGGAGGGTCATCTTGTCTGTATTGGCCTTTTTCATGCAAAGCCACGCCCCTCTGTGACAGGGGCCAACTTTTGAACAAAAATCTCGCAATCACGGGTTGGTCAGCAACTGAAAAAAGATTTCTCCTCATATCTATTTTGTCCCAATGCTAATAATTATGAGCTATTGGAAGTGATTTTAAATCATAGACTGTAAATATTATTGGACGTAATGAGGCCCATCTTCACTGTTGAAACTTATGTTTCATCACTTTTCCCTCCTGCCGTCTTTCTTCAAAATGGCCGTGAGTGGCCCCTGCTGCAGGTGAATGGCATAAAACCAGTCGGGGCGGGTCCCGGCTCAAGAATGGCCACAATGAAGTGCACTGATATGCTTGCAATAAAACGGCGGGCCGATGGGGGTGGTATTGAATTATTCATTCATTCATTCATTCATTCATTCATTCATGTATGAATTGTGCTATACAAATAAACTTGCCTTGCCTTGCCTTACTTTTTTTATAGTTCGCAAAACTAACATTTAATCTAATTCATCTGGAATACAGAAAAACAGCAAAAATCTTTATAACAGATTAATGCTGTTAATGGATGTTTTGTGAACTCACTTGATTTCTCCAATAGGTAAAAAATGGTAACCCATTACTAGATGAAGGCAAAGTTTATACCAATTTAGATCTTGGTCAGGACTTGCATGTGACTGTGCAGGCAACATGTTATATTAGCAATACTTTTATACAACACTCTGGTTGTCCTTATATCATTCTAATAGGAACAATGTGGACATCCTCTCTATCCACAACTTACTCAGAATTACCTACTGCTGTGTGCCAAGACGTTGCTCTGCGTTTTCCTCGAATGATATCATCCCAGTGAAAATATTGCATTAATTTGAGGAAATCTCGGCTTGAGGCAAATATGTTTGAACTCAGTACTCTTTGACATGCCCCCAGGAACTGACCCCCGCGGTTCTGAGGAAGATGCACATGAGCTAATTGGGAACATTGAGAGTTGCCTTGTAAGAAAAGATCAGTCACACTAATGTGGTCAGTGTATTCTGAAGTAAGTCTGTGGTGTGCGACCTGAGGAGCAGGAGAACATGGGGTTAATGGGCAGACTCAGTTCACTGTGGAGGCCATTGAGGTCCTCCATATTTTTTCCTAATTATTTCATACAACTAAATTTTTCAGGGCAATTTTCATCAATCTAGAATTAAAGACATCAGAGACAGGTGCGTTCTGCAGTTTCTGTAGAGAATAATGAAAACTACGTCTTTGTAACATCATTAGCAGTGTCAGCGCAGTTATTTCAGAGCTTTTTTCCACTGTGTAAATGTTTGTCTTGGTTTTAGAGTTTCGGAAACAGCCGACAGGGCACATTCTGTGACTGAGCTGTTGAGGGTCTCTGGGAGAGCCGCTGCAGAGTGAGGTCTGCTCGGCAACGTACGAGGAGCAGCTTCTTCGAATCACTTACTTGAGTCCATATTAGTCGGAGGCGTGAGCAGAGGTTGATTTAACGCCTCCCGCTGACCTCACTGTATGTGGGTCAAAGGTATCTCTCTCTTCATCACTATTGTGTCCATAAGTTTTATTATTACAGTTATGTTTTACAGAGCGCCAGACCATCTTCAAAAGGTGCCCTCTGCCCACAGGTTTTTATGTAATGTTTTCGATTCCGGTGCTCCTAAAAAGAATGTAAAAAAGGAGTGTATTCAAGTTCACTTCCAATATTCAACCATTCTGTCTTTGTAGCCGCAACACAAAGCACTCCTGCCTCACAGCAAGTATGTCACAGTTCTAATGCTGACCTTTATGCTTAGAGTCAGCATGTTTCTCCATGATTTCCTCCAGACGCTCTGGTTAACCCCCCATCATCCAAAACAGGCACCTTAGATAAAATAGAAGCTTCAGACCAGCATCGACATCTGCACCATGACGACCACTGGTTTGCCCCAGTTGGAAGGATGGGTCAAATGCAGAGGACAAATGTATCTATGTATGTAATTATTAGTAAGTAAGTAAGAAATCATTATATTGTATAGTGCCTCTCACAGACTAGAGTCACAAAGCGCTTTACAGTTGTTTTTTTAGGCATTTCCCCTCTCACTCTCCGTACAGAGACAGGAGCAGGTCGCCAGTGCAGAGGCGCATACCAGACCTACTGTACATGTTTTAGTGGTAAGGGAAACCTACGCAGATACGGGGAGAACATGCAAACTGGAATCAAACCCCGGACCTTCTTAGCACTAACCACTGCGCCAGCGTGCCGCCAATTTTTGTGACAGTTACTGTAATATTTTATGTTCATGGCCTTGAACCTCCTGCCTACATAACCACTGCTTTATTCTTTCACATGAGAAAATAGAGCGTTCTCATTCTTTATAGTGTGCACACATAACGTGATGTATCCTACTTTGGGAATGTAGAAGGTCTTTATCTTCTCATGCCCCATGTTTCCAACAGGAAAACATCATTTGTCTCAGTGAACACATAAATGTCCACTTTAATGAGACTAATGGATGATTTCTGATGCGTTTGTTGTATTGATTGTAAGAAGCCGACAAATATTTCTCTCAAATCTTTTCATGTTGAAAAATAATTCCGGATGTGTTTGTGTGTGCACCTGTGTGTGCAACCGTGTTTGTTTGTGTGTGTGTGTGTTTGTGTGTGCACGTTTGTGTGTGCACCAGTGTTTGTTTATGTGTGTGCACGTGTGTTTGTTTATGTGTGTGTGCATGTGTCACTCAGAACAAATAAATAAAAGTAAAAAATTCATCACATGAACAGATTCATTGTTACTCAAATACGCGCGTGTCATATCTGCCTTTTACTGTATCTGTGATACATCATCAACTCCTGGGACTTTCCTGGAAGCTTGCCAAACTGAGGAATGATGCTAATAGTTATACATTTATATATACAGACATCTAAAAAGGGTAATATCCAGGATAGTCTTTCTGCTCTGCAAACAAATGTTTCAAAATCACATCTTCTGCTTTTCATTTGATGCATATCAGGCTTTATTATCTTCACATCATTTTTGAGTAAATTATCTTTAAAATTCTAACTTCACTCACACGTATTTGTAAACATATTGAGCAAACATAATATTCCCAGTAATGTTAATATTAAAGATTGATTATCAGATAAATTGGATTTGGCAATGGATAATAAAAGCTCTTGTTTTGCAGTAGATGACCAGCAGAGGGCAGCAGATTACCATCAGCCGATTCTTCACGCTTCAAACACACTCTATGCTGAACATTACGCTCAGATGCTGTCATTGCTACCCTTTGGAGTGAAAGACAAATTCAACACCCATACAATCTTTAGAAGAAAACAGTAATCTCTTTTCTCATTGAATGTCTTTGACCTATACATTTCAAAGAGTGTGTGAACATAACACATGCGGCTCTATATCCAAGGCCGTAAGCACACTTATAGTCTTTGCGATGCATAATGGCCTCAGTTGAAAGTGCCTGCCGTCTCTACAGACATGTTTTCAAACCCCTTATTTTAGGTGAGGACGGAGGCTTCAGAACCCTGCTTGTGTATTCCCAATCGATTTCCTTGAGCTCTGAAAACCCCAAGATAGATTTCGCATTGTGTCTCCTTGTGTCACTTCCCCCATAGGACCACATTATCTTGGATAGTGTTATTGTTGATAACAGAAGCGATGTTTGTGTTGCTTTTATGTGTTATCCGCTGGGTATAGATACGCCTGTTTACACATATTTCATGCTGTGTGCCTACATTTTGAATAGATTGCATAGATTTCTTTCTTGCTTTTGTGTTTTGCATGGCCATACATGAACAAAACCGGCTCCACAAAAACGCATGCTATTTTCTACATGAATGTGTAACGGTATAAAAATCTGGATTTCCTCTCAGCTGTAATTGTTGCGGTGACTGAGGACTAATGGGAATGGATGGTCGCGTCCACAGATGATGGTACAAGTAAGTGCCCTGGTTTGAAATGAAAAATGGAAAACTGAAGTTAAAGGCACAATATTGTCAGTCCTCCTGTCCTGTGTAATGGTCCAATCTTAGTGATGCATCCTCTGCCTGATTGGTATAAATGTGTTGGGGTCACAATTACCCCGGCAGAGCTGGGACTACTGCAAATCAGAAATGGAACCACATCAAAACCGCTCTTCTTTCACAGCACTAATTGCATCGATGACTGTAGTTTAGTTGGCATAGAACAAAATACCACTTTTTCTTTAAAGCCACACGTGTAACGGGTATGTAATGTATGTCACATCATTACCATCTCTAGAATGTTAAAACCATATTTACATGCATAGTGCAACTACTAGTATAATTTACCGTCCTTCAATGTGGGCCTCCCTGAGGTTTCTCAAGTTTCTTTCCCAATGTTTTGTTGTTGTTGTCATTCCTTGCTGCAGATGTTCTAAGAACAGTGATGATCTGGGATATTTTGTAACATTTATTAACGTTGATCTTCCTATGGACCGAGGGCTTCTATGTGTTTGTTTTTATTGTATTTTCTGTGTTCAAACAGTTTGATACATTTTTGCAAAGTCCTCCAAGACGACTGGTGTTTTGATTTAGGGCTACACAAAAATACATTGAATTGAATTGGTGAGAATTTCTCCTACTGAAAGGGAATCACTCAATGCCTTGATATCAGATGGTTTGGCTTTTTCACTCATAATATCACTCCTAAAGCTCTCGTAGTAATTACTATTCTTGAATAACTACATGTACAAGTGCCACTCTACACTTTTACAACAAATCCAATGATGCTTCAAATGAATCGCATTACTTCATGAATTGCATTCATTTCCCTGTTTAATCTTGCCTGATGACCAGAAAACAAATACTTTAAGCCACAGTGCTTGTAAATATTGCTCACAGTCCATGGTGCTCTTCGGCAGAGCTCTCCAGATGCAGATCAACATCTGGAGCTATTTGAAGAACTTAGGGCTGTATGCTGCTGTACTTTTAGGTATGCACATCACGTATTTGAGTTAATGAAAGGGTTGCTGTGGTAACTACAACTATAAAGAATCCCAGAAGAGGTTTTATGAATCCTTCCCTTTTTATCTTTTGTCAAAAGTAATGCATGAAAGTGCTGCAGCGGTGAGGTGGCAGGTGCACTATTCATAGGTATGCTATTGTTCAGAGCTGTATGTTTCTGCATACCAAACAGAGCATTTTAATTAGTTACATTGAATATTTTAAGACACGCAACAAAAAAAGGACTTCAGTATTCAACCTTCCCGGTGAGTCAAGCAGCGAGTCTGAGACTGTGGCAGAACGTCAGCGCACAATGAGCCTGTGACACTAACGATCTTGTTGCCCACACTTCTCTGTGGTGCATCAGAACAATGTGTGAAGGACATGTTGAATAATGCAATAAATCCCTTTGCTTCTTTATGTTGGAACAGCCATTTACTGCAACACATCTTTATGTGCATACATGTTTTGAACATTTTTCCAGTTAAAACAATATTATTCATGAAGTTGTTTACCAAAACTACACAACTTTCCAACCACAAAAGATGACCATATCCTCGCTCTCAAGACACTGGTTCTATCACTAGTCTTCAAATGCATGTGTTTCTGTTAAAGCGTCATATACTCAAAGTGCTCTTCTTTCTTAAGTATGCAAAAGAAAAAGAAAAGAATGGGTTCTAAAAAGATGGAGGAAGCATGTTTTGGTTTGTTATGGTTTATTATCGCAGAATGTTGCCTTTCCAAGACTCATTCTACAGGAACAAATACATTGTATTATTTGGGAAAGAGAAAAGTTTGGGACCATCTTTAACAGGCAGGATATACATACTTTAAAAACAGCTGAATTTACAGGGGCGTCACACAGGAGCGTCACACAGGGGCGTCACACAGGGGCGTCACACAGGGGCGTCACACAGGAGCGTCACACAGGAGCGTCACACAGGAGCGTCACACAGGGGCGTCACACAGGGGCGTCACACAGGGGCGTCACACAGGGGCGTCACACAGGGGCGTCACACAGGAGCGTCACACAGGGGCGTCACACGGGCGTCACACAGGGGCGTCACACAGGGGCGTCACACAGGGGCGTCACACAGGGGCGTCACACAGGAGCGTCACACAGGGGCGTCACACAGGGGCGTCACACAGGGGCGTCACACAGGGGCGTCACACAGGGGCGTCACACAGGAGCGTCACACAGGAGCGTCACACAGGAGCGTCACACAGGAGCGTCACACAGGAGCGTCACACAGGGGCGTCACACAGGGGCGTCACACAGGGGCGTCACACAGGAGCGTCACACAGGAGCGTCACACAGGAGCGTCACACAGGGGCGTCACACAGGGGCGTCACACAGGAGCGTCACACAGGGGCGTCACACAGGGGCGTCACACAGGGGCGTCACACAGGGGCGTCACACAGGGGCGTCACACAGGGGCGTCACACAGGGGCGTCACACAGGGGCGTCACACAGGAGCGTCACACAGGAGCGTCACACAGGGGCGTCACACAGGGGCGTCACACAGGAGCGTCACACAGGAGCGTCACACAGGAGCGTCACACAGGGGCGTCACACAGGAGCGTCACACAGGGCGTCACACAGGGGCGTCACACAGGGGCGTCACACAGGAGCGTCACACAGGAGCGTCACACAGGAGCGTCACACAGGGGCGTCACACAGGGGCGTCACACAGGGGCGTCACACAGGGGCGTCACACAGGGGCGTCACACAGGGGCGTCACACAGGGGCGTCACACAGGGGCGTCACACAGGGGCGTCACACAGGGGCGTCACACAGGGGCGTCACACAGGGGCGTCACACAGGGGCGTCACGAGCGTCACACAGGGGCGTCACACAGGGGCGTCACACAGGGGCGTCACACAGGGGCGTCACACAGGGCGTCACATAGGGGCGTCACACAGGGGCGTCACACAGGAGCGTCACACAGGGGCGTCACACAGGGGCGTCACACAGGGGCGTCACACAGGGGCGTCACACAGGGGCGTCACTGTTATTCCGAGGTCTTTATTGTTTTCTTTGAGGAATGTTTCTCCTCTTTTGCATGTGATCACTTTAAATCTGAAACAAAAAGAGTAGGCCACTGAACCAACATGGGACCAAAGTAAAGACGACTTGTTATTGCAGACTGATAGACCAATTTTTATTATTATTGTTATTAATATTGATTAATATTGGCTTAATATTGTGGGTTCAATGTAAGTGACGTTACATGTTCGGTTTGGTCAGAACTAGAGGAGCTTATCTCTTTTTAGTGGTATGGAAACCAGAGAACTCAGAGGAAATCTATGCAGACACAGGGAGACCATGCTCTGACCAGGATTCGAACCTTGGATCTCCTTACTGAAAAGCTAGATTTCCAAATACTGTCAACGTGCTGAGTGGCAGAGTCATTTCGGCTATATTTAGAGTAGACTAATAACATGGCCATTTGTTTGGAAACACTGTTCAAAGCTAAGCAGGGCAGGGCCTGGTTAATTCACTCACAAGTCTGGTGTGTGTGTCCGATAATTTACACCTTCCCCAAACAAAAGGCTTTACTTGCACTAAAGTGAAGTAAACACATGGGCTGAAATGCGCATCCATCTTTTGTCCGATTTGTATTCCTCCTCCTCTGTGGGCCTATTAATTCCTTCGTTCTCTTCATTTAAAAATATATCAGCGTTGTGGGCCATTAAGCGTCTGCCTTATAGCTGCAATAAAACTCGCACATCTCTCATTCCACAGAGTTAAGAAAGTTTCATTTGACACATTAGCATAACCGGTCGTTTGGAGGCGTAACAAAAATGTGGGTAGCTTTAAATGTCAAGTTTTGGGAGAATGGTGTGGAGGACCGTAACGAGCACTTTGGGACATAAAGCCGCTGGAGCCGAACTGCAGAGGACAGAGCAGAGAGGACAAACACAGGCAGAGCGATGGAGGTTCACTGTAAAGACAATTGTAATCCCCTCCCTGTTGCAAAGAACCAGGAGTGCTCTCAGGGCTTACCCAGGCACAAACCGAGATGTGTAGGCAGCACTAATCACGTTTAATTAAGCCGTGCTGCTGGATGTGTCGGTGTAAGAGCCTAGTGGTGGGATCATAGGGTTAGTTATTGTGGTGAAAGTGGCTGATGCTTCAAGAGATTATTATCGTTATTATTTTTCATTCAATATTTTGACATGTAAATTAGTAAAGAAAAAGATCTATCCATTTTTTTAATGCTCCTTAAAAATATGCACAAAATATGAAAGAATAAAGCCTTGGGACATAGAGGGGACCAGGGGCGTATAGGGGACAGAATACAAAAAAAAAAACAAAAAAAACATTTGATATCTAAAATGGAACACTCATAAATGGTGGTAGCCTGGCCTTAGCCATTCGTACACTTTGCTCAATCATCATTTCCCTGCATGTAACGTCTGGGTCTGGTCTCTGTGTTCGCGATTACATCGGTTGAATTCCATCTGACCAATCGGCGTTAGATGTGGGTTAGATGTGGGTGACGTCAGGAGTTTGCGCCAAATGGGCTCGTTGTAGTTTGGTAATGGCAAAGAATGCGACAGTAAAGTGTTCCGGAGGAGATGGCTAGGCTAAATGCTAAATTCTAACGACTCATTCAGGCGCATTACATACGTCACGGTAAACTCAGATCCAATCGTTTCAATCTGCAAAAGGAGTTAACCCCTCCCACCTGTTCACGGAGCTCAATGGAGCACCTCCAGACCTTAGTACGAAATGTAATTTGTACTATGGTGTGGTACGACCAGGCTAAAATGGTGGTAAACATTTATCTAAATATAATTCAAATGTTGTCGCTTTTCTTCCTCTTCCCCTTCATTTATTTGTTCTTATTATGAGTTCATTGTCTGTAATGGTCACACAATAGACACACACGACACACTTACATGTACACAATCTCACATATTACATTTCATCCTTTGGTATTGAAATTACTGTCTACTGTTATTGCTGTTCATGCAAATGTTCCGAGAATTGATAACTAATGTTACAATTATAGCCGCTCATTGCAGTAATTACATTTGGATATCATTGTATTGAGCCGTTATACTGTTCCATTATAGAGGTACTATTGATTAATCCGTGTATCATTCGTTCTTTTGATTTTCTAAATAAAACCAACATTGAAAAAACGAATAACAAGGGATGTTTTTGATTCTCAATATTTGAATTTAATGCAAAATTGAAATATTGGTTTGTTTTTTTGTTTTCTGTGGATCCAATTAAAACGAAAATGCAGTAAACCAATAATGACCGTCTAAATTACATTTTGCGATTTTCCTTTGAAACACAAACGTCCCCCGGAAGTGATTCGAAAGTGCGCGTTTGTCACGAGACCAGGAAGTGTCGCCTCCAGGTGCTTGGATCGCACCTTGTTAGCGCTGGTTGTAGGAGAAATGTCTCTTAAAACTCTCCTCAACATCAGTCAGATTACCAGCTTTTTTGTTCGCTGCTGCAGAGACCATCGCAGATGAGAATTCTCAGATTCACGAGAGAAGGGGTTCTTCGATGAAAAATATATACACAAGTGTCAAGGTAAGACATAACTTAGCAACTAGCGCTAACAGCTAAGTTGGCATTAGCTACGACAAACATGAAACACTTAGCGTTACACATGTAACAAATGTACCTAATGTGAGTGCTTTATTATTATAAATGTATGTTATAGACTTTCATATTATATAAGAACATGATATGTTTGTGTATTGGTGAAAGTAATCATGCTAAATTTTAGTAAATAAAAGATGATGCTAGATGTACCTTAACCATTCAATTGTGCTTTGTTTCTGCTTCATTCTCAAATATTGTCGAGGGACAGTAGTTAGAGCTAGATGCTTCAGGCTTATGAAGAGAAACGAGGAGCCCTCAGACTGCAGGTTTGAAACAGTCAGAAAGACTGCAGGTTTGAAACAGTCAGAAAGACTGCAGGTTTGAAACAGCCAGAAAGACTGCAGGTAGGAAACAGTCAGAAAGACTGCAGGTTTGAAACAGTCAGAAAGACTGCAGGTTTGAAACAGTCAGAAAGACTGCAGGTTTGAAACAGTCAGAAAGACTGCAGGTTTGAAACAGTCAGAAAGACTGCAGGTTTGAAACAGTCAGAAAGACTGCAGGTTTGAAACAGTCAAAGCCGCTGGGCTCATGTTCAGTTTGAGTTCCTGTCCTGATAGAAGACTAGCATAGCATCTTTCTGTTTGGTGGTTACTATTTCTCTTCTGACTTTATAAGATAGTTAAGTTATAACAAGTAATAATTATATGTCTGTTCTAAACCCACTTTTCTGTTTTAGATCTCACTGGGTGTGCAGGAGGTAAAGGTTTCAGACTTCACACTACTCCCAGCCTTGGCCTGTACCAGTGATCTGCAAAGCTCTCCAGCTGGTCCTGGCCTGTACCAGTGATCTGCAAAGCTCTCCAGCTGGTCCTGGTCTGTACCAGTGATCTGCAAAGATGGATGTGTTTATGTCAATGCAATAAAATTAATAATAACTGATCTACAAATCTCCTTTTTGTTCCTTTACATTTTAAACTTTCAACGCGTGTTTATCATTGTAAATGTATGTTACAAAATTAGAATCATTGCATGAAAAAGCACGTACTCATCAGTGTACATTATGTTCTGTCACATTTGAAAGTGTAAAAACTGTTCTTAAATCCAGTTGTCCTGGTCTTAATGGGCATTACACACGCAGTGACCTCACAGATAGAGATGTAAACTGTATGGTCAATCTAACATGCTGGTTAGGAAGTCTAACATGTGTTCTGTGAATGTAAAAACCTCTTTGTTCCAGTCTTTTTGGGCTCCTTTATTCACAGACCAACTGTGGCGGAGCTACAAGCAGTCAGATGCTGCTGAAGATCCCAGACACAGTCGTCCAGTCAGATGTTTGCTGAGTGCGCTCCTTTCCTACGTCACTGCTACTATCAGTCATGTGTAGAGTCACGATGGTACCTAATAGTATTGTACAGTCCCTGGTTTGCCCTTACATTAGCTCAGTCAGGTTCACTTCTAAACTTTGGAGTCACTGGCTTCTTTGTATGTGTGACTTGCGGTAAATATGTGATTATGTGTCTTTTTAACACAGCTTTTTTTTTTTTTATTCTTTCATTCTTAGCTCTGGATTCTGTGCTTGCATGTAAGTCCTTAGTAAAGTCTAAATAAAATTGGACCCGTGTTGCTGCTGAAAGGAAGTCTGAGGTGTAAGTTGTTCTGTAAAGGTACATTCAAATACACAACTTGTCATTTTACAGTCTTGTTTAGTTAAGAATGTCATTTCCTAATTCATAAATCTATTGATACATAATCCACTAACAGTATTTGTTTTAAACGGGTTTTCCATTGCGATTCAACACAATTTAGAAAAAAAATTACAGAATTGTGTCCAAGTGTGTTTTAATTTGGGAACAAACAAATCAAAAATATTTACACTGGAACAGACACACAGAAGATTTACATACATGATGAATTTAGTCTTTGGCCTTCATAATTTGCCAAAACACAACAAGCTGTGATTCCTGAGCCTCGGGAGACAGAATCCATCTTGAATGTTGCAATAAAATTATTCCAGGAAAAAGAGATGGAGCAGCAATAGTTTTAAGGCGGCTGATATGTAAAAATATATATATGTATGTATATATTGGGCAGGAACATGATCCATGTTTAATGAATACATTTACTCAGAATACCTTTCTCTGAGCCACTTCAAAAAGTTTGCTTTCGTGATTAACCACTGTATCAAAAAGAAGGGACATGACTCAGCTGATGACTTGACATTTGGACAAACCTAGTCGGTGTAACGTGGTTGATATTTCTGCATATGTTTTAATGTTTTAGAAGCATTCTATCGCTGTATCTGCAAAGTCTTCCAACGCACCCATCATTTAGTTCATCTCCACCGCTACTCCACTGTTTACCTGCGGGGTGCGCACTTGCGAATCACTTCCGGGGGATTCTTGTGTTTCAAATGGAAATTGCAAAAAGTAATTTAGACGATCATTATTGGTTTACTGCATTTTCGTTTTAATTGGATCCACAGAAAACCAAAAACAAACCGATATTTCAATTTTGCATTAAATTCAAATATTGAGAATCAAAAACATCCCTCGTTATTTGTTTTTTCAATGTTGGTTTTATTTAGAAAATCAAAAGAACGAATGATACACGGATTTTGATTAACTCCTGAAAATGTGACCTGTATAATACAAAATAATGCATCAGTTTTATACAGTGCTTTTCAGGATGCTCAAAAACGCTTCACACGTCATTATTCTTTCACGGTGGTGATAAATTACTATAGCCACAGCTGCCCTGGGGCCCACTGAGAGAAGCGAGGCAACCAGTATGTGCCATCGACCCCTCTGACCACCACCAACCATTCACACACACACCAGACTCACAACAGGGACACTTTCTTTGTTTCTGCTTTATTTTAGTTTTTCTGTTTGTTGTGGGTTGATTGTCATAAGTAAATGATTACACAACAGACACACATTTATTATTATTACACATAAAACACACATATAAATTAGTCGTCATTTGAACAGCTAGTTTCCATCTGCAAGTATCTCCTCTGATAAACACAATGTTTTTGTGCTCGTTCTTTGTTTCACTCCATAAATCTCTCATATTGTGCGTAGATCGTTCACACACGTCTGTAGTTTAAATCTCGAGTGTGTAGTGCGCTGTTTATGATTGTTTACCTCCGTGTCATATGTTTGTTGCTGCTGCTGCTCGTAGATCTCTCTGTTTGGATCGATATTGTAAAGAAAACACTTTCTCTGCGTTGTACAAACAATCTGTATTCACTGTATTCTACTGTATACACTAATGCAGTTTGTTTTACGTCTGGTTGTAGTAGTATTTCCAGCGCTAGCTAATTATTATTAGCTAATTATTGTTGATGTGTGTACTATCTATATGTATTTCACATTTCTATAGTTCAGCAACACATTGAGTTGAAAATGAATTATATGCAGTTAGTTTACGACAATGTATTAGTGTTTTATTTCATATAAAGTTTCATATTTTCCTTCTATAACTGTACTTACTGTATCCCAGAGCCTCATGCTGCTAATGTCCAGATGTAAACATACAACTGTATATGTCTTCTCTAGATTATACAGGATTCATGCTTCTTTATAATGCTAAATTTAATTATTTTATTCTTTATTATGCTAAAGATATATACATTATACATACTTCTCTATCATGCTATAGCTAGATATTTTATGATCTTTTTTTGTTGTTACAGACAATATGAAGACATTTTCATTCTTTCCTGGCCGCGTCACTGTGATTTTTCGCAAGGGCCCACGTGGATTCCTGCTGCAGGACCCTTCGGAGGAGGCGAGGAAGATCAGGGACGACCCGTCCATGAGGGAGTGCGGTGCTCCTCTGAGGGAGGAGGTGGTGAGGGAGAACGCCCTCACTCTGGTGCGAGTGAGAGGAGGTGATGCCTCAGACAAGGCTGAAGTGCTGGGGGAGTACATCGCTCACAGCAGGCAGTAAGACCAGCACCGTGCCTGTTGTCACTCTAATGTCACTGCTGTCTGAGGAGGCCATAGAGAAGGTTGTGCAGCGGATCTTGGAAAAGCAGCAGCAGCCTCCAGCAAATAAACCCCACACAAAGAAATGCCTGTCTTGTGGCCAGCCAAAATCCAAATATGAGGGCGATGGCAGCTCCATCCACGAGTTTTACCAGCAGGGTCCTACCAGGTATTTCTACTGCTCCACCAAGGTCTATAACACCTATCGCACAGAGGGTTTGACCAACTCCAGGATGCCATTCCGAGACTTTATGGACACTTGAGTTCTGCCAGAGAGAGCTGGAGGCCACGCAGCAGAGAGTGAATGAGCGGCAGGAGAAGAAAAGGAAGAGTGATGAGTCTCCTGCCACTGGGAGAAAGTGCGGGTTCTGGAAACTGCAGCTGAAGCAGGGACCAAACAGTCCTCACATTCATACACAATTCCCTGGTCTGTCAGGAAAATACATCTACTGCCCTGCCAAAGTATTCTCCCTGTACAAGGACCAGGGGATGGAGACGCAGATGTTCCAGCAGTCTCCTTTTTATGACCGGGAGAGGGAAAGGTGGCGTGTAAATAAATGAGCTATCTGCTGTCTATTGGTGCTATTGTATATAGTTACTATATTATACCTGTCTGTTCATAAATGTTTATAAATATTCTAATTATTATGTAAATATATACTTAATATTGATTATATCTAATTAAATAATTTCATTTGTAAAGTCTGCATCTACAGTTCTGTATAGTCAGCTCTCAGCCGTCACAGTCACAGGGCTCATCACACAAATACTAGTTTAAGAAGATAAAGATAGCATGTTGTTGTTTTTCTTCTAAGTGTATTTCTTAAATTTGTAAATATCTCTTTTTTCATCTGTTCACAATAAATATATTATAATGTCATACATTATTGAAGTCTTTCTTTTTATTGATCATATTTCAGGGCAAACGGTAGTATTTGACAAAACAATCTGTATAGAAAATAGAGTTTCAGTTCAGTGCCAATCAACGATATGCCCACTATACGCGGCTGGCCCCCGCGGCCCGACCTTGCCTAGCTTCCGAGATCAGACGAGATCGGGCATTCTCACGGTGGTATGGCCGTCAGCACGGGGGTATGGAGCAGCGTGCCTCCTGACCCTGCTGCTGCGGTCCTCTCCTCCCCCAGAATGAGCACTCAGGCCTGGGTCTGAGCGGGAGCAAAGCCCTCCCCGGTGATAGTCCAGAACCGGAGGAGTGCGTGGGTGAAACCTGTGGTGACAGTTTTTGGAGTAATTACATAAAACCAGCCGCAGCAAATACACGGACGTCAAAGGCCTTTTATCAATGCAGAGACGCCCTTCTGACGCCATGCTGAGCTTCCTGAAGGTCCCTGCTGTCTGTCGCACCCTTATGTCTTTCGCGTCTTGCATCCCTTTCGCCTCTTGCATATCTATCGGTCTGTATGTGTGCATCTTCTACATCCTGCTGTCTGTCACACCCTTGTGCCTTCCGCGTCTTGCATCTGTATGACCTGCATTTAGACCATTGTCTGTCTGTTCGCACCTCGTTCCCAGACGGCGCCAAACGCTCCCCATGCGCCTCCTCACCGGTGGCCCCCTCCAATCTGTTGTGGGCGGGACTGTCTCTCGTGTGTGTCTTGTATACAGGAAACTTGGGGCTCTGCCCTCAGAGCTGGGACATGCTGCTTTTTGAGTGTATGTGCTGGCTCTCCGCACGTGCGTTAACAATAAACTTACGCTTTTGATCAGACAAAGGACCTTTGAGTTTTCTCCTTCATTGGGTAGAAACTTCCTTAACAATTTGGCGTTGCTGACATGTCTTGGCATGGATACTTTCGGCGGGACGAGCGGCTTTGTTTGGCCGACCTGGATCACCAGCCTCTGTTCCTTTTTGGAGACAAAGGAGGGCGCGCTCGTCCCGCGCACGGAAGGAATCCTTTTGCCACACAAGACCAAAAAGAACCTAATCTGGTGAGTCTTGTCTTTTCATCTGCGTAACGAGCCCAGGGCAGCACTTAAGTGTACACGGGGATTTGTTTATTTATGTATTTTTGGGGTATTTCATTCATTGCCACAGCATAGTCTGTGTGCGGGATTTTTTGGGGGCTTTTTGTTCTAGATTGAAGCTAGCGGCTGCGCGTTAGTATCGTCCTGTAGGCGACCCTGATAATTTCTCTAAGTGTCTTCAGCCAGAACCGCTCCGTTTTCAAGAACGCGCGCTCGCTGGTTGAACCAGCGGGGGGGGGAACGGAGCGCCCCCAAAGTGGGTAGGAGCAGGGAAGAGACTAAGCGGGTTAGGCCCATTGTTCGTACGAGAAAATGGGTAAAAATCAATCTAGAAGATGCAAGCTATGGAGTGCTTGCCTATGGTGCAGGCCATTACGCATCTTGCGTGATAATTTAGAAGAAGAAGGGAAGAAAAAATATACTTGGTTTTAAGAATATCACGGCAAAAGAGGTTAGAGAAAGAAATATGTAAAAACAATAGCTCCTCCGCCTTTCACCGAAGCGGAGAACACACAGGCGCACACACACGCCCTCTCTCACCTACTAACCCTTTCACACTAGGAGCAGAACTCCATGCTAAGTACGCGCCCAAACAAGGCGTTGGGCTTTTAAAAAATGAAGCAGACTACTGTTGTCTCTTTTCCCTCTCCCTTATCCAGGTCTGTCGGCGCCTTTCTTCCGCGCTCTGTCCTCTGCCTCAAAGCACCAGCCCCACGCCCCAACCACAGGCGGCGCCCGCACCAGCTGAGACCCCGCGAGAAGTGGGCCCAAACCGCAGAAGAAGAAGAGGCGGAGACAGACACACGCTCAGGAAACCACAGAAGAAGAAGCGGGGGAAACAAATATGTGAGACACCGACAACTGCTTTGGAGCACAGAGAGAAACTGCTCCAAATCCCGTGACTGTTCTCCACGGAGGGGGCAGCGTGATATACCAAACGCACCCGCGGAAACCCCCTTGAAAGTTGTTCCCGCACCGCAAACAGAAGAAGCCATTGTGACCGGCACGTTTGGGTTATTCACCAACCCTCATGGACCACATGCTAACGCTTTGGGCTACCTGGGCCTCCTGCGGACTTTGAGAAAACTTCCACAGCCCGGCGGAAAGACTGTGTGCTCGACATGGGTCGAAGGACTGTTACCGGAGGAGGCGTTAAAGGCAGAGGCTCACACGGGGCCAGAGGACGGCAGAGGCGGGCGAGGAGGAAACACGAGCGACTGACCAAACCCGGGTTCACATTCGTCACCAAAGCGACCGCTCATGTAAGTTGAACAACAACAAATTGCAATTGGCACTTTTTAGAGATAATTCATGCCCGTAATATACGCTAACAATCTGTGGTGTACAAGTTAAAATTCTGGATGACTCCGGGGCAACAAATTCTGTGCTAAAAGCGACAGCCTTTCTGTCTCCCCTAAAATGAGTGGCCGTTTCACATTCTCATTAGCAGCGGGGGGGGAGAGACGACTAAAGAGCAATTTACGTCACCGCTAACGTGTTTTGATTCTCAGGGCAACCAGCTTAAACATTCTTTTCTATATTCCCCATTGTGCCCGGTTAATCTACTAGGCCGAGACCTTATGTGCAGACTCAACTTAAATCTGCTCTCAACACCAAGCGGCCTACGGGTGGTACACGCTGGTGAGCTAGCAAATGCTCCATGTTTCACCGGCATGCACAAGGAGGCACCGGTCCCAAAAGTTAACTACCACTGGAAATTGACACCAAACCCTGAGATTGCTAAGTTATTAGCCACAACAAGTGGATAGTGACGCCCGCACAAAATTTGGAGGTCAACCACGCGAACGACCTAAGCTGCTCTCTCCGGTCGTTCCCAGACAATAACTTAGAGTTTGAAAATTCATGCAGTGTAGTGAAGATAGGCTAACGGAGTATGTTTATTGGGATAGGCACCACGCTATGGTATTTGTGCGACTTAATGAGCAACAAAAACATTTTTATCGTGAAACAAAGGTGAAGTATTAAAGTTTGAGACTAATTTACATTTTTAATGAATCCGACCTGGCTTTATTGAAAAAGAAAAAATAAGGAAAATAAACATTTTTTAGGTGACAAGAGCTCATTAGAGATATAGGGGACACAATCTGTGATAAGCCCGAAATACAGACCACGTGGTAAACACTAAAGTTGGAAATGGATTTCTTTTTTTTAGGAAAAATCTCTTAAAAAGCTTTGCATGTTCTGCAGGCTCTGAAAGTTGCAACAATAGGAAGAGCTCATGAGACAATTGTAATTGGACATGGAAAATATAACAAAGTTAAAATTACAGGCCTTCTGTGTGTGTTACATGTTTGTGTGTTATATGTTTTGTGTATGTTATATGTTTGTGTGTCATGTCAAAGTACACTACGCTGACCTTAACAAACTCTGGACCAATACTAACGTGGGGAATCGGCCTGTGATGTGACTGTGATGTGACTGTGATGTGACTGTGATGTGAGTGTGGAGTGAAATGAGGAATGCTGAACGGAATCATGGAATAAGAAATGTGTCTGTAATGTTTTAATGTGATCATGGAATAATTCTTTTTTGTCAACAGCATACGGTGTAAGTACTAGAGATTCAAAGATAACGACCTTTATTGAACAGGTGTAAAAGTGAGAGTACTCTGGGATGAGTACTCTGAGAAAAGTACTCTGCGGAAAGTACTCGGAGATGAAATACCTCGCTGAAGATATTGGGAGTTCCTCCCTCTGCTGTTTGCCCTGACAGTGATTCGGTCCAACCGCAGTGAGCGGTCATTGGGCGGAGGACAACTTTGGTTTGTAAACTCACATTTAGGGGAGTATAAAATTAGAAACATACATTTTGTTGTTCTGTATCTGGCTACAGCCTCCGCCCTGATGCCACACACCGTCTGTCAATGCAGTTATGTTTTGCCCAATTGGAAAAAAGATTGACAAGCGAAAGTGGGCATTTTTTGTGTTTTTTTGTGTTCTAATATTTCTTTTTCAG